ACTGGTTGAAATTAGGAACGAGGCAGAGTTTCTAAAACTGGTTCCAGCTGCAGTCATATCTCCTCTCCAACTTAGCAGGGACCGGAAGACAGACTCCTTCCTTGGCAAGTCAGAAATTGTAATAGGAAGGGAAAATGATCTCACCAATGTTACGAAGTTGCTCAGTAGTTCAGACTCCACTCTTGATCGAGATCTCTCTGTTATCACCATAGTCGGTATGGCTGGTCTAGGAAAGACAACTTTAGTCAAAAAGGTTTGTCAAGTAGTAGAAGAGAAAAAGTTGTTTGATAAAGCAGTATGGGTTTGTGTGTCTGAGAATTTTGAAGATGAAATGATTTTAGGAAAAATGTTGCAAAATCTCAATCCAACCAAAAGTGGGATGAATGAAATAGATGCATTGCTTAGACATCTTCGAGAAGAGTTGAAAGAGAAAACATTTCTTCTGGTACTTGATGATGTGTGGAATGAGGAGCAAGGGAAATGGAATAGTTTAAAGGATCGCCTGTTGAAAATTAATGCAAAAAATGGAAATGCGGTTGTTGTAACAACTCGTAGTGGGCTTGTAGCATCCATAATGGAAACTTCAATTGGGCATAGGCATGAACTAGAGAAATTATCAGATGATGACTGCTGGTCCATTATAGAGAGAAAAGTGACCGTGGATGGACGAAAACAGATAGGAGGAAATTTGAAGGCTATAGGAGAGGAGATAGCGAAGAAATGTGGAGGAGTGCCATTAGCAGCAATAGTTTTAGGTGGGACTATGAGCTTAGATTTGGAGGAAAAGAAATGGTTGTCGATTAGAGATAGGATTAATGTTTTCGATCTAGAGGAAAATAAAAGAACTTTGCAGATATTGAAGTTGAGTTTTGATCAGTTACATTTACCGTCTTTGAAACGGTGTTTTGCATATTGTTCTATCTTTCCTAAAGATTTGGACATTGAAAAGGATCAATTGATTCAGCTTTGGATGGCTGAAGGGTTACTTGGGCCGTCTAATGGAGGGATGGAAGATAAAGGTGACGACTATTTCGACTACTTGCTTGAACATTCCTTTTTTCAAGATGTGAGAAGGGGTGAGTATGGGAATGTAAGAGGTTGCAAGATGCATGATCTTATGCATGATCTTGCACTATCTGTTTCGAAATCAGAAACACTGATTTTGGACGCAGGTTCAGGTTTAGATGACAAATGTCGTATCCGTCATCTAAATCTCATCTCTTACGGGGATGTTGAACTGACATCTCTGCCAGGTGTTGCTAAGAAATTGCGTTCTTTATTCTCCAGTGTCAATGTCTTCCACAACAATTCCAACTCAAACGCTTGCAAACTCTAATCTTGGATGGTGATCATGTCAAAGAGTTGCCAGATTCAATTTGTAGGCTGAAACATTTGAGATATTTGGACATCTCACAAACTGGTGTCAAAGCGCTTCCGGAATCCATCACGAAGCTCTTCCATTTGCAAACCTTAAGGTTAAGCTGGAAACTCGAAAAGCTTCCCCAAAAAATGAGAAATTTGGTGAGCTTAAGACATCTTTATGTAACTGTAGAGAGCCAGATGCCAGCGCATGTGGGGTGCTTAACCAATCTTCAAACACTGCCGTTATTTGTTGTGGGTCCAGCTCGGGGCCATAAAATTGAAGAGTTGGGAAGCTTGAAGGAATTAAGAGGGAAGTTGAGAATAGCCGGTTTGGAGCATGTGAGAGACAAAAAAGAGGCCGAGGGAGCAGAATTGCTTAGTAAAGCAAAGATATCCAATCTGGAATTGGAATGGAGTTATGAAAGAGAAAGCGACACCAGCAACATGAATGACGAGGATGTGTTGGAAGGGCTCCAGGCTCACCCAGGTACAAGATCCTTAAAGATTAAGAACTATTTTGGTGAAAAATTCCCACTGTGGTTGCGGATGCCAGTACTCCATAATTTGGTGATGCTGAAATTGGAAAACTGCAGAGAGTGTAAACAACTTCCTTCACTTGGACACCTTCCTTGTCTTAAAGATCTTGAGATAAGAAGAATGGGTAGTGTAAGTTGTATAGGGAATGAGTTTTATAGTAGCAATAGTGGAATGTCAGTTCCACTTTTCCCAGCATTAAAAAATATCTTTCTAGAAGATATGGAGAGTCTAGAGCAATGGATGGTGCCAGCTGCTACAACTAATGGAGTACAACTAGTAGTATTTCCTTGCCTTGAAAGGTTGGACATTTTCAGCTGTCCTAAATTGAAAAGCATTCCATCGATGGCTCATCTTTCATCAAAACCTGTAAATTTGCTTATCAATGATCGTGATGAATTTGATGCCGTCCCGCCATCTCTTAAATATTTAGCTATATGTTATTGTGGAAATCTAGTATCTATTCCAAGCATACAACACTGCGCAGCTCTGGAGGAATTGGATATTGATAACTGCAGGGAGTTGATGATACGTAATGATACTCCTAATAACAGTAGTGGTGATTTCCGAGAATTGCAATCTCTTAGAAGTTTGAGCATTAACAGGTGTCCAAAATTAACGAGCAGTAGTAGAAGCAACAGTCTTGCAATTGGTGGGCTACTATCGTGCTCATCTTCTCTGGAGACCTTGGAAATAACAGATTGCAACAACGAGCTTATCTTCCAATTGCCACCGCTTTCTTCTTGCCTTCGATCGTTATGTATCACAGACTGCCCCATTTTGAGTGATTTTCCAGAGAATTTCTTTCTCGGCCTCACAAGATTGAAAGATTTGATAATTGGTAGATTCTCAGAGGAGTTGGAGGAATTTCCTGTTGGAATTATGAATTCAATCCAACACTACTTGAGTGGGAGTGGATACCCGAAAGAGCTAACGATATGTGGATGGGATGAACTGAAGAGTATACCACATCAACTTCAACACCTCACTTCCCTTAAGATATTGAGAATAAAGGAATTTAACGGATTAGAGGAAGCTTTGCCAGATTGGTTGGGCAACCTTTCTTCTCTTGAATCCCTTCATATTTGGGATTGTAAGAATCTCAAGTATGTAGCAAGTTCAACAGCCATGCAAAGCCTCTCCATTTCCAATTTATGGGACTTGTGGATCTACGACTGCCCATTACTTGAGGAAAATTGCGCCAAGGGCAGTGGCTCTGAGTGGCCCAAGATTATGAATATCCCAAGAATCAGATTAGGTTCAACAACCATACAAGACAAGGTAAGTTTGAATTTCTCAAATCTTTCAATTTTTTTCTCTAATTAATAAATTTAATTGCCTCTCTTTACCCTTCGTTTTGATCGATTTACACCATTTTTTAGGAAACTTGAATCTAGGCAAGATATGTTCATTTACAAATCATTTCTTTTATCTGATAGCCGTATAATATACTTGTTTGGCTTAATTTCAATAGTCTTTTAAGCCCTCAGATAGTCTTTTATCTGTACCAATACTTGGTTTTATAAGGTCCAACGAATTTTATACTCCTAAGAACAAATATATCCTTTTTCCATTGTGAAGATAAAGAACTAGAAGAAGATTAGTAGTGGGAGTTTTGAAATTTTATTTATTTATTGATTTTTTTCCTTAAAAAGTTGATAATTGCATGCTCCATGTATCTCACCTAAGTTTATAACTTGAACTCATCTTAGAATTGAATTTTTTCTAGATTTAACCGTAGAATTTTTGTCAAGCTAACTTTCCCTCGTACAATTATGAGTACTTTTGAAAATGATGTTGCTAGTTCTTGATTGAAAATTGAGTACTTTTCCGTCTAGTTAAGTTGTAGATTAGGCTGAAAAAAATTGCAAGGGACAGATTCTCTGCAAAATTTTGCACACAGTTGATTTCCCAAGAAAATCATCTCTTATCTGAGTCCAATGTGAAGATTTTATGAAAGAAAACTTAGCTATGAATTGACTAAGAAGAGCTCTTCTTGTATTTTTGTAACAGAGATTATGGATGAAGCTCCAGCATAGATAAGACAAGGACTCCGTGGTTCTACAGCCGCCGTGTTAAAACCTGTAACAGCCGAATCCTCCATGCAAACAAGTTCATCTCTACACACCAATGCTTTTCTCCCCTCTTCATCCTTTCCCTAAAAATTTCCTCTCATATAAAGTTGTCTGCTAGGTATTTGCCTCTTTCTATTAAAGTCCACACTCTCCATAATTATGCGTATTTTGCATTTAATTTACTGTTACTAAATTTTCAGGAGAAACCTACTTCCTAGTTTGGTCAACCAAACAAGAGTTGTTGGACACGAAGAACGTAAAATTCCAATACACTTCAAGAAGCATAGTAGATTGTTTGTCAGAGGATAAAGCACCTGCTGATACCTTAGCTCTTTAAATATCATCCTCCTCTGTAACCGATCGACAATGATTTTGTTCCTGATTTGAAGCCTTAGAAGCAGGCTGCAGCCATTCGATCAAGAAACATGTGACAGTCACTCTAGTAAATTGCCATTTGATTGGGAAACATGTGACAGTCACTCGAGTATATTTTGATTCGCCTTCAATTTGTGCATTGCTCTGACATTCTAAGGAAATGCTTCAGCTTTTACAAATTCCGTTGGGCTTTATGGGACTCATACATTTGAAGATGAGGATTAGCTCTAGCAGTTATTGAACTCTACAATTCTGTTGCTAATAACAGCGGTGGTCCATTCTTTCAATAAGGTTACACTATTCATTTTTGAGCTGCTAGTGGAGCAAATGGTCGAAGATGGTCCTTTAAGATAATAATACTCTATGAGGTATATATGCACCTAGAAACTTCTTTCAATCAACTATAAAAGTCTTTTGAATTTTATTTTATGCCTCAATCTAATGAAGTAATTTCTGATAAAAAGATATTTTACGGAACCTAAAAAGGAGTACTCGTGGGGGGTCTTTATATGTGAAATCAATCTACGGTTAGAATGCAAGCTGCAAGATGATTGCATAAACAGTTCTCAATGAATTTTCTTATATGATTTAACTTAATTGTCCCTTCTCTTCTCAAGTCACGCCCCACCCAGCCCCAAAGAGGTCTGATAAGCAATGGAGTTGTCTGTGTATCATCAACCTTCCCCATGGTACTATTTCCTTGCAAACCCTGCCCTCTTCTCCTATCCCCCCACCCCAGAAAACCATGTTAGCTGGTCTCAAACCCCTGAGTCTCACGTATACTCTGCTGACCTCCCCGGTACATAACAACGCGATGTTTTCTTTTCGTTTCTTGAACTTTCTTGCATTTCTTGAATTCTTTCGGTTATGTTTTGACTGGCATGAAACGTTGTTGTCTTGGTTCTTGTGGCAGGTGTGAGGAAAGAGGAGATAAAACTGGAGTTAGAAGATTCAAGGTACCTCATAATTAGAACTGAGGCCATTGATGAATCAGCTCAGCCTGCTAAGACCTTCAAGAGAAAATTCAGGCTTCCTGGTGGGATTGATATTGAGGGAATATCAGCTGGATTCGAAGATGGTGTCTTAACAGTCACTGTACCAAGAGCTTTTAGAAGGAGGGGATTCTTTATTGACCCAACAGATGTGCCTGAAAGGCAAGAACTTCTTGCTAGGGCTGCTTGAATTCTTCCATTACTAGTTGGTTAATGAGGCACTAAAACTATTGGTTTATGATTCATTTCTTAGCATTGCTTATTGTGGCAAGCTAGATTTGGTACTTTGATTGGAAAAATAAGGAATGAAGTTTCTAATTCTGCTCTAATTCTGCTCTAATCTATATTGCAAGGAAATAGTACTGTTTTTAAAATATAATAATTCACTCATCTAGTATTTATAACCTCTCTATATTTTCTGTTCCTTTTCCTTCTCTTAGCTTCTGTTTCATTTGCAGAAATCGACAGACTGGCTTGAACTTGAACAAGGATGGTAGATGAAGAATTCAGTGCAGTTTACGCAACAAAGATAAGGTCTTGGTGGCTTGCACTATTTTGAGAGAAACCTGATTGTCCTGCTCACACCAGTGGTATGCATTTTATTTTTCTTCTATCAAATATTTGTGTTGTAAGTTTTGAGCTTTCTGCAGCATTATACACAAAAATGAATTTTCAGTATGGCTTTCAATTGAATCAGTCCTATGGCCTCATACCGCTGCAACTGTGCACTTGCACAGGATTCCAAAACCGATACGCCCTTGATTCTTATCCTTGCTCGTCAATTTCCCTCTGCAAGCAATCATCAAAGAAGTAGGACTGAGGTAGTTGATCCATCAGAGATACTTTCTGCAGCCACCACAAAGCAACAGCTGAATCACAAAGTCTACAGGTAATATTTTCTTGATTATCTAGCTTGCCAAAATGAAGGCTGCTCTATTAAAATATTTTCTTGCTGCAGGAAGCTGTAAGGTGGATCAGACTAGACCCCAGTAGTGACAGTGATACAGGTAACGACAAATTTGGAAATCCATTTTATGACAAGGTTTCTGTCTTAAATTCGTTGGATGATCCTGTATCACAATTTTGTGAGGTAACACTTGAGCGATTTAAAAACATGCTGGATTTAAACTAGTTGTCTCCTTAGATTATTTTAACTTGGGTTTAGATTATGCAATCAGTCTGCCATTTCACATGCCCCAGTCCCATTTCTTGCTCTTCTAGACTCGTATTTCATTTTACTACCTGAAACCCTGCTTGTTGAGGTCCTACATAATTATTAATTTCTTATATATTTTTTTCTTTGGTTTTCTATTTTTCCTTGTTATGCCGATGAATTCAAAAGAATAAATAATAGTGGGAATTCTGCTTGCAAGATATGTCTTGTATCGTTATTGTGTATACTTTCATTTTCAAGTTTCTAAATGCTTGCTTTCAGTTTCTTCCGTGTTGTGGGTGTAAATGTCCAAAATTTCATTATTTGGCTTTCCTGTTTTGTAATTGCATGCCATGAGTTCCAGTGTTAAGTGTTTTCATCTTAAAGTTGATGATTGCTTGATTTAGGGTTTATAATTTTGCAAGATGCATCTGTTTTTGAATCTTATTGCTTCTGAATAACTCATTCATGAAATGCTTGCTAATAATGATTTATGTAAATCATTACAGAAGTGGTTAGTGTGGTGCTGATTTTATATATATAATTATGTTCTTCAATTTTTCCAGGTCGTCCAGGATATTCTGAGAAGGCGATTCAGAATGCTAGCGGTAGTTGGCATTTGATATTTTGTAAGCTTTTTGGCAAGCATACAGGAATTGTTCATTTTTCCCATTCATTAGCCAGCCTTTCTTGATAGTAGTATGATTATCGACTCATTGCTATGGAGATATTTCTGTCTCAAAGATTGCTGCTAAGCTGGGGATTCCATTAACCAATTGGGACGTTGCAAAAACCTTTTTTATGGGCTTCTGACGGGGCACTCAAGGAACGAAAAGGAGCAGATCGTCTTCTAGAAGTCGAAGATTCAGGAATGATTATTTTTCCCTTTGTAAGCTGACCTTGGTTTTCATCTTCAGCTGTTGTACCTTTTTCGGTTTGGGAAGTGAAATAAAATCATATTGTTGATGGTAATCTGTTTCTCTACTCATTGGTGTTCAGGTCTTGTTGCCGCTTCTTTGAGAAATTGCAGCAGTGCTAGGGATTCAATTTACTAACCAGGTGGTGTATATAGTGGTAGTTTCCAAAAATGCATTCAAGGGAAGGAGGAAAGATCCCCTCTTTGTAGCAGAAAATGCAGCTGACCCTGTTCAACCTTGGTATTGTAGATGGATGGGCTTGTCAACCCTCCCTTCCCATCCCCTGTAAAAGTAAACGTACGCAGCAGCGCATGGTAAGTATGATCAACAAATCATATATGGGATGTTGACTGTAGAATGGAAAGTAGAGCAGAATTTCTATTGAGATTACAGAACTAAAGCAGGATTTCAAGTATGAATATTTTTTTCCTCTGGATAATCTTATCCTCAGTTGGAGACAATACAGTGAAATAGACTTGGCAAAGTTGAATTCCAAAATTTAAGTTATTGATTCATTTGTGGAGAATTACGCTCACTAACCATATAAATGCAGTGTTTACATCTGGTGTTGCATATTACTGTTTCCTTTACATCTAGAATAGAAACTCAATAAGGTTGTCATCAAGCATGATTTATTGCAGATCCCATATTGTTGTGGGATATCATCATCGCCAGTTAAGTGCAGTACTCTGTGGCATATGATATGGTATTAATGATGGATCTCTACTAGTTGAAGAAATAATCGATTTGTTTTATCTGTTATCACAAGTTCTCTATGATTGTAATTGATAATATTTTTTCTTGTCATTGAAGGAACTGGCAGCTAGTGGCTTGTTTGATGATTGAGGCTTTCCCTGTTGAAGCTCTGAACTCTATCCAACACTTAAATGGGTCTGTTGATGAAATGGAGGCATACACCGGCATCAACTCAATACCATACCACATTGTTAGCCAGCAGGACAGCATACACAGTGGAGACTGGGATTGCCAAGAGAGAAATTGGGGTTTATGTCAATTCGAAGAGCGACTTGGTGTCTGCTCGGGGTAATTTCAATAAGTTCTCTTTGATTTCATTGGTCTCGATTATGGTTAACTTCCCCTCCTCTTGCTTGATTTTGGCTGTTGATCAACCCGGCCCTTTGGTGAGATCTCACTAGTTGGTGATGATATTTGTATTGTGAGCCAAGGAAATTGATTCCATCATGTGTTTATAGATGTAGCAGGCTCTAGTTATCAAGAGCAGACCTTACTTTGTAATTTCATTGATATTGTGGATGAGTTTGAATGGACCCGTGGTTTTTTCCTCCATTTTGGAGGTTTTCCACGTAAAAAAATCTTGTTTGTTTATGTGTGATTGATTATTTATATTTCGAATTTTTATTGCACAAAAAAGAGAGAAGCGGGACTTCTGGTTGTACTTTAACAAGTCTGGCATATCAAAGAAGGATTTAATTTTAACAATACAACAAAGTTCGTCTTACCTGCTTATTCTGAAGGTATATTGTTTATTTTTTTATTCCTTCTCTTAGCTTTTCTTTTGTTTTTATTTTATCTTCTGTTCATATGGTTGGCATGTAGCTAAACTTATGTTCTGAATTTAAAATCTCAACCTATGATGGTTGAGAAATGAAAGCAAAAAAAATTTTTGTAAAACCAAGCTGCTCATCTAGTTCAGACTTAAGAAAACATACTCTGAAATTGTCTATTGAAAAGCATGTACGGTAACGAAAATGCCATCTCTAGCTAGTTAGCCCATAGCCATAGATCGTAGAAACAAACATTTATCAGATTAAAACAGTGTCCTATCCGTGAACATTCGGCTTCATAGATGAAGGTAAGAAAAAGCAACTTAGCAAGCCAATGCATAGCCTTGTCTTGGTAGATAACTGTTATATAAATGTCAAAAATATAGTACATATGCCTAACCACTCCAGTGTATCCTATGTCTACAGCAATTACTCTAATCATGGCAGAGCTCTTTCCAGAAATAGAATCGCAAATTGGTTGGGAAATGAAAGCAAAATTTTTGTCCATACATGTGGAAAAAACATACGGAAACTTTATAAATTCTTTACATATCTAAAACAGGTGATGGTTTCACTGTTCCAATGAACAATGTGAACAATGAACCGTCACCCGTTATTGTTCATTTGAACAGTTTTTTTTTTTTTTTTTTTTAGCTTTTGCTTGAGTTTTTTTCCTCCTTTTTTTTAAAAAAAAAAGTTTTTACTCTTACTTATTTTCTTAGTTTTTTAAAAAATTATTAAATTGTTTCATTTCTTTTTTTGATTTTCACCCTTAGTTTTTTCCTTAGGTTTTTTTTAAAAATTTTTGAATTATTTCATTCTGATCCTTAAAATTTTAATCCCTAGCTGATACTCTATATATTTTTTTTATTTGGTTTTTTTTCTCATCAATTATGTTCTTTTTTTATTTGATTAAGTGTTATAATTTTAAAAAATCGATCATTATTTTTTTTCTCAAACAAGTCGATGATTTACTCTATCCTCACACTATACTCGCTCAATCTTAGTTTTTCCCTTTTTTAAAAAAAAATTCACTATCACTTTTTTCTTATTTTCTTAGTTTTTTTTTTTTTTTACTTTTACTTTTATTGTTTAAAATTTATTTCTTCAATTATTTGTTTCTTATTAAAATTCTAATCAAATTAATTTTTTCATATAATTTTATTTGTTAATAAAATTTTAGAACGCCGGTGTTTTTTAAATATGTTATTATAATTTATACAATAAATAATTTTTATGCTTTTTAAATAAGTGTTCTATATTTTAAAATATATTATTGTAATTTGTATGGACAAGTGAGCCATCACGCGAGTACTGTTCGTTTGAACCGTTTTTTTTTCTTGAGTTTTTTTTCCTTCTTTTTTAATTTTCACTCTTACTTATTTTTTTAGTTTTTTTTTAAATTTTTAAATTATTTTTTCTTTTTAATTTTCACACTTATTTTTTTCTTAGGTTTTTTTTAATTTTGGAATTATTTCATTATGATCCCTAATATTTTTTTAAAAAAATTATAATCCCTAGCCGATGCATGTTATTATAATTTATGCAATAAATTATTTTTTTTGCTTTTTAAATGAGTGTTTTATATTTTAAAATATATTATTGTAATTTGTATGAACGAGTAAACCATCATGTAGGTACTGTTCATTTGAACAGCTTTTTTTCTTGAGTTTTCTTTCCCTTCTTTTTTAATATTCACTCTTACTTTTTTTTTTTAGTTTTTTTTTTTAATTTTAAAATTATTTTTTTCTTTTTAATTTTCAACCTTAGCTTTTTTTTTCTTAGGCTTTTTTTAATTTTGGAATTATTTCATTCGATCCTTAATTTTTTTAAAAAAAATTATAATCCCTAGCCGATGCAATATATGTCTTTTTTTCTTTGTTTTTTTCTCATTAATATATGTTTTTTTATTTGATTGAGTGTTAAAATTTTTAAAAATCGATCATTATTTTTTTCCAAATAGGTCGATGATTTATTTTATCCTCGCACTATACTACTCAATCTTATTTTTTTCCTTTTTTTAAAACCTTTCACCATTACTTTTTTGTTATTTTCTTATTTTTTTAAAAAAAATTTTTGCTCTTATTGTTTAAAATTTATTTCGTCAATTATTTATTTCTTATTAAAATTCTAATCAAATTAATTTTTTAATATAATTTTATTTGTTAATAAAATTTTAGAATGTCGGTGCTTTTTAAATATATTATTATAATTTATAAATTCTGATTATATATATATATATATATATATATATATATATATATATATATATATATATCAAGCGATTCCGCTCAATATATAGATTTGATTTACATTAATCATCGAAAATAAAATTTTTACTCACAGTATACCATATGAATCGCTAATACTACATGTATAAGGGGTACTCGATTACAATATAGCGCGGGTATCTATCTAGTTAATTATCTAAAACAAGAAGTCGTTTATAGAATTATAGTTAAGCCCCGGGACAATAAACTAAAATGATATCGTTTTGAGCTTTTTTCTTTGATTGAGACTCTTTATTTTCCGAGATTTCTTGCTTTAAACTCTTTGTTATAACACTTATAATCGATTATCAACATGCGACATTGTAAAATAAAAATCTATACAATGTATTGATCACCGATTAATGGTGTTATAACGAAAGATTTGAAGCAAAAAATCTTAAAGAATAGAGGGTCTCAATAAAAAAAAAAAAAAAAAAGAATGGATGGTCTCAATAAATTTTTTTTGAAGAGTATAAGAACCAAATATGAAGAAACCTTAAATACAAGTAAAATTTTGTTGCCAAATTATTGACTTCAAATTAAAAAGCGAATTGATAAGGATTATGGATGTTATTTATCTTGATTGATGAATTCACATCAAATTCTGTTTCCGTTTTTTTAATTTTCTTTCTTCGCACGTTAATTTATGATAGTAGTTGATATATACATATAATAATATATTTTTTATAATATTTTATGGATTTGTATACAATTTTATTTTTTCATGATCCAAAAAAGACTAAAGGTAGATCAGACTTGGACGTTTAAACAAGATTATTGAGCTTTGGCCACTGAAAATGCAGGATTTGTTGTCCCCCATAAGACAAAATCTAAGCCAACTGCAGAATATGTTTAGTTTTTTGTTGACTATTGACTTTCTTTTTAGACATATTTTAATTCAAATATGATATCATTAAAAAATAATTATGAGTAATTATTTATGAGTAAAATTGAATTTTGATCTTGACTAACTTAAAAGTTAAAGAGACCTTCTTATAGCTAGATCACATCCCTAGTGGTAATAATTTAGTTCTTTTCATCAATTTTATGTTTGTTTTAATTTAATTTAATTTATTTCTATTAGAAAAAATAAATAGATATTATAGAGAGACTGATGAGAAAAAAATATTTTTTAAAAAATAAATTAACATTAAATTATATATTAAATACTGGTTAAAAAACTAAATAGTTAGATTTTAAAACAAAAGAGAGTAATTATTGTTGTTATTATTATTATTATTATTATTTGAAACTATAGGGATTTATTTATAATCTACTCCGTAAACACTGCTAAATAAATCGAAGCTTTCCTTGGGATTTTGAAGCACCACTGTGTCAAACTGTTAATTGGCATGACGATGGAATGATACTTCTGATTTACATGTGAAGAAAAGGGCCCATTTATATCTCATTCAAAATTTGGAAAAAAAAAAAAAAAAAGCATTAAGGGGTCCATTGGTATTGGGCCACCTCATAAGCCATAATTTTTTGGGCCAATGCCCTTTTGACTGTCCCAGATTTGGTTAGGGACCAAACTGCCATTTTCGGTTAGTCATGTAGTCATAATCCATATCGGTCCCTAATCTTGACAAACCGTATTGCATTTCTTTTGAATGCCAAAAATATTCATGTTTGTTTTGCTATAAAATGTTAAATGCCGAGAAATTTAGCATATTTTGGACATCACATTCTTCAAAACTAGAGAATATTATTCCATAAAAAAAGATGGGAATCTAATATTCTGCATTGAATTTTTTTAACTTTATTATTTTAAGTGAATTAACATAGCCTTGTTTTTAGGAATGATAAAACAATTATTACAGGAAATCCTTTGACGCTAAAGTTCCATTGGACAAATCAAACTATTTTTCTAAACTCTCCTCTACTTGTTGCTAATATCAAACAGTGGATTGGCAAGATCATTTGGGGAGACATAGCAGAGGAAAATGGGAAACAAAAAAAAAAACACTGAGAGATAACTACAGGAAGAATATAGTATTTAAAGGTTGGGAAAAAGTAGGGTTTTATATATGCAACAAAGCATCTTTAGGAAAAAACATGGAAAAACGTTCCAAACGTTTTTTCAACTTTAAGTAATTTGAGAATCGATTATGTCACTCAATTTCTAATTTCAAATTGTATCACTTTTTGTCTATTTTTTATTTGAAATTATGTTTTTATGTTAAATTTTTATTAAAAAAAATGCCAAAACTTATAGATGTTTTTTATTTTTTTCTCTAAAACTTTTCTCATGACTTCTAAATGCTAAGAAGTAAACAATTCAAAAAATATTTTAGAAGAAAATAAATAAGTTTTAAAGGTAAAATTTTTATATATTTATACAAAAAAATCAACTATGTATAAATCACGTTGTCCATTGTAAAATTGATGAAAACCTAATAGAAAAATTTAATTTTAGATAAAAAATAATCAGATAGAAGTCTAATCCAGAATTAAAAATTGAAAAAACGATCCTTAAATAAGTTAAAATTAAAGAAAGGTTTGTACCATTTAATCAAAATAAATATTTATAATCTGGCTTTACAAACATACACAGAAGAGAAGAAGCTTGCACTTGCACGAAAGCAAATACTTCTGACGGAAAAAGTGAGATGATACCAAGCAAGCTCTTTGAGGAAAGAGAGTTGATGAGGTGCTTGTTTTCTTGATTTCTTAATCCCTGTTGCGGCAAAAAACACCTTGTTTTAATTTCTTTATTAAACTTTGCTGTATGAATTACATCCCTAATATTCATGTTGCCTTTCTTTCAAAAAGTTTGTAGCAATAAAATCAAAACGTAATGCAGTGATTGCACTTAACAAGTTCGGCATATCAAAGGCAGCGCCAGGATTGAATTTTCTCTCTCTCTCTGTTTTGCTTTTTTTTATTTTTATTTTTTCCTTCGAAATTGTAGGCATGTAGTCAAGCATAATCTTCCCTGGGTTGGAGACAATGCCATGAAATAGACTTTGACATATATAGTAAAATTCCCAAATGAAAGCCTAATGTTTTGGTGTCATTCTATCATTAAATAAGGTTGCACCACCTACTTTGAAAGTCGTCCTGGTGAAAGAAATCCTCTCTTGTTGATTTAGATATTTCCAGGCATTGGCTAAGCACTCTCAGGAATTCTTTTGCTGCCTCATCCTGATTGAAGAAATCGGAAATCGGAATCTGGTGGCTTTGTAAGACGAGTTGGAAGCTTTTCCTGCAGGCGGGTTCAAGTCAATCCAACAAAAGCAAGCTTTTCCTTACTGGTCAGATTTTTTTTTTTTTTTTTTTTTGGTAAAAGGATCATATGTATATTTTTGCTTGTAGGGTCATTTTTCATGGACAATAAACACACTTTTATGGGAGATTGAACCTCCAGAAATTATAATTTTTTACTAACTCCAAGTCATTCACATGTGCCTTCATTGAATCTTAGTTTGTTTTATTCTAATTTTTTCCGATTAGTTGTTTTATTTTATTTAACCTTGCCAGTTGTCACATTCAAGACTTAATTGATTGTTAAATATACAATCGTGCTGTCAACATTTACTTATTTTTTAATTAAGATGAACTTGCACGTTCAGAAACCATTTTTGAACTTTTGATTATAAACGTTTGTCTAACTATCCTATTTGGTTTCAAAACTTCCAAAGCATTAATTGTCTCCCAATCCTCATTTGTCAAAAAAAAAACACTAAACCAGGAAACCTTTGTCCTTCTCCAGTCGATCCAACAAAAAACTTCCGATTTATACCATTTCGGTAAGCATTTAGTACTTGTGTCTCCTGATCCTCCTTTGTCAAAAAACCTTTTGAGCTTTACTTTAAAGGAAAAAAAAAAAAAAAAAGAGGAAACCTTTGTGCATCTCCAGCCGATCCAACAAAACTTCTGATCTAGACCTTTTCGGTAAGCATTGCTTCAATATATCGAAGGGATTTTTTTTCTTTTGTTAAATATCTTGAACTGGTTTCTTTTTGTAATTGTATCTTATGTTAGTTTTGTAGCTTCTTTTTCTTCCAGAAAACTTTCAGCTTTTAGGGGGAAAAACCTTGAGCTTTGCCGCGATCTCCAAGACTTGAAATTTATACGTACCCTTTTCGGTAAGAACCACAGCTTCAATATTCTTCACATTCTAGCCATTTTTCAATGTTTCAGAAAATTAAGCATATATGAAATAAATGGATTTTCAATATAACTTCAATATGTAAAATGATCTTCCTTATGCATAATTGGATCTCTTCCCTTCAATATTTGTACTCTTCGTATTTCACAAATTAAGAAAAATAAAATTTTGTTGTCAAATTATTTACATCAAATTAAAAAACGAATTGATAAGGATTTATCGATATCATTTATCTCAATTGATGAATTAACATCAATTTTTTTTATTTACTAATTTTCTTTCTTGGCACATTTAATTTATGATAGCAGTTGATATATAAATCACTTTGTGTATATATAAATTATAATAAGGTTTTTACATAGAAAAATCTATACAAAAAGTAAAAAGGTTTTTTGATAATAAAGTACAGGAAAACGATAAACGAAATCTAAAGACATAGAGTGAAGGCAAAACTAAAGCATAAAATTGAAAAAGAAACATTTGGTTGTTTGATTTCGTTGACCAAAACAATTTGTGTTCATTTCGCAGTCTTGCTCCGTCTTTTTTATATTACAAACGTATAACTTGCTCCCTAGCTAGCCTTTTCTCTATGCTTCACCAAATTGTTTTATTTTATTCAGACTAAAAGGGTCTAACCATCTCTTAATTTTAAGTTATTAGAGATCAAATCCTTAAATTTTTAATTTTTTGAGATTTAATCCATTTAATGATTTCCAGCTATCATTTTTTCCTCTAAAAAGTTCAATTATTGGTATTTTGAGCTGAAAAATTTCAAACATGCTGAAAAAAAATCCGTTCCATTTTCGAGAAAATTTTCAGAATTTTTTAAATTCTAAAACTATATATTTTTGTATTTTAAAAATATTTAAAATATAAAAAATCGGAAAAAATGAAATATAAATCCGAAATTACATACCTCAAATTTTTTGAGGAGTCTCCCATAAATCTCAATAAATGGTTTTCATAATAAAACTATTTATGTAATTGTTATTGTTTGAGATAAATGATAGAAAATTGAAGGGCTAAATCTGAAAAAAAAAAAAATTTAAAATCTTTAAAACCAATAAAAGAATTCAAAAATTCAAGTTCAAATAACTTAAACTTCAGGAGTGGTTAGAACATTTTAGCTTTTTATTTAACCAACCAAATTTATTACATACCGTATTAAGACTCGCTTGAATTTTTTTTTTAAAAGTTGATAGTGATAATTATTTATATTTGATTAAAGATCAACCTCGTTGTATCTTTAGAAGGAAGCGTTCGGAATATTATCATTAAAAAAATTTCTCTATTTTGTCTCTTTAGAGAATCTTCCTTAGCTATCAAATTGTTTGGTTTTTTTTCTTTTGTACAAAATTTGAACGTACGTGGAGGGATTCCTTCTCCACCATATGGCTTCCCATTTTGAATGGCTAAAAAAGAAGAAGAAGAAGAAGAAGGCTTAGTTAAATCAAAACATTTTAGAGGATGAAAGATATGAATGATAGTTGAGTTATGTGTTCCAAACTATTTATTTTAATGGTAAGAAAATGTGGTTACTGTTTAGCTTTGTTGTTCATTGTTGAATTTCTGTTTCTTTCTTCTTTTAGGCCTTGCATTTTGTTGAAGCCTTGTCTGTTTTTTTCCTTATAGGTTCTGCCCCTTGTTGTTTTGCTAGTTAACTTTAACTAAAACACTAAAAGAGAATGCTAATTCAATGTACACTCTCCTATGCATTTCGTTGTAGCTCAACACCCAAATACACGGTTCACTATCACTCACTTCTAATGTTTAGACATTTTTGCCCTTTGATCCCATATTTAAAAAAAAAATCAATCCCAAACTTCATTTGTATTACAATTTGATCCCTAAATGCTTATAAAAAATAGAAACACACACACACACACACACACATATATATAGAGAGAGAGAGAGTGTGTGTGTAAGGGCCATTTTGGCCACTTCAATTGTTAAAATTACCATCAATTTGTTCTCTTGAAGAGTAGAATCTGTTGCTAGTGATTACAAGCCATGAAATAGTATGAGAAAGTAGATCGAATACAAAAATATTTTAATTTTTTTATTTTAATTTGAATTTTTGTGTGCATTAAACTGGGTTTTGAGAATCTAAAATAGTTGTTTATATTATTTCGATGATTTTGAGGCGTTTTTGAAAAAAAAAAAAAAAGCATAGAATTTGGCTTTCGAGGAGTAAAATATGTATTAGTCCCTCTAATTTCAAGAAAAAAATTAATTATTCTCTCTTGTTTTAAAAATTATTATTTAATCTTTCTGTTAACCATGCTTAGTTTAATATTATTTTTTTCTATAAAATCTCTTATTTTCACAACAATCTTTTCGTATTTTTTTCTTTTTTATTTCTTAAAAAAAATCAAAATAAATTAAGAAGAGCAAAAAAGATTAAATTACAAGTAGATTTCAAAATATAGAGATAAATGATTAGTTTCTAAAATAAAGGGGACTAATTAATATGTTTCTTGAAATCAAAGGGACTGATTTATAATTTTCTAAGTTTTTGGGAAGTTAGAAACTAAAAACATGATTTTTCGGCAAATATAATAAATATTTATATAATCTAAAAATTTCATATTTTTCAGAGAATTTCATGTTTGTTTAGCAAAAAAAAATTAAGAAAAATATAATGAATAATTAGCAAAGCGTAAAATTTTAATAAGCTATTAATGAGCTATTATCTACTTTTATATTCAATGGCACTTTGATAAGCATAAAAAATGCATGCTTCCATCATATTCTGTCTCTTCGGTAATATTTGCTAGTAGATTGCTCTTCACTTTACCATTTTTGGCTAAGTAACCAAATCTTTTACAAGCAAAATATTATGCCTCCCCTTTGTACCAATAATATTTAACATATGGCCTAGTATGTTACAAGAAAGAAACCTTCCAATACCTTTATCATAACTAGAATTACTGTCAAAACTACTCCTTCCTCTCTCCCTTTGATTTCCACCTTTTCCACTACTTCTACCTTCAATCTATCCTCCTTTTTTATAGGATTCTTCACTTTATTTCTCATCACTTGTAGATCCCTTCTCTTGGCTTTGTTTCTCATCACTTGTATAACTCTTCATTTGATTTACAACTTCAATAAATTTATTTAAAAACTGATTCATTCTCCTTCATTTCTCGTAATCTCCAAATCCCTTCTAAAACTTTGTAATTTGATATAGCTAGCCCTTACTTTTACATCATCTTCATATTCTTTTTGTAAAGTCTCCAATGCTTGCTTTAATTTTTTTATCTCTCATGATCTTGAGGAAGATTGGATTAGCCAAACTTCTTTGAGTCAGTCTAAGAGTGCCAATATTTCTACTCTTCTTCTCTTTTGTGCTACTTAAACCTAGGTTGTAAGATTACAAACATGGAGAGGTGAGCAAAGTTTTCATCTTTATACACCCAAAACTCATAGTTTTCAATTAAAAACATTGAAAGCTTTAACGTTAACTCCGATACCATTCTCTTAGGTTGTCATCCACATCTAGAAATACTCTAAAACACTAAAAAATCTCACCTTTACTTGGGAACAATACAATTTTTTTTTCAACTCAAATAAACCCTCATAATACTATCGAACCAACTAATGATCTTACGACATTTCCTTGATTCCTTTCACCTTCAATTCTAAATCTTTTAAAGCCTGCTTGTGTTTTCTTGTTAAGGTACCTACGAAAACAAAATGGACGAGGTTGTTGTTAGCTTTGCTGTTGAGAACATGTTGACCCTGGTGAGTTCACTTGCGAATGAAGGGATCAGTCTTGTTTGGGGATTCAAAGGAGAGCTTAAGCAGCTGGAGAAATCATTAAACATGATTCAGAATGTGTTACTTGATGCGGAGCAGAAGCAAGTAGCTGAGGAGTCCGTGAGGCAGTGGCTGGAGAGCCTTCAAGATATTGCTTACGATGCTGAAGATGCATTAGACGAGTTTGCTTATGAGATGCTCCGCCGGAAGGTAGAGATCAAAAACCAGCTGAAGCAAAAGGTACGCGACTTCTTTTCAAGCACCAACCCTGTTGCTTTCCGTGTGAACATGGCTCTAAAAGTTAAGAAGATCAATGAATCACTGGTTGAAATTAGGAACGAGGCAGAGTTTCTAAAACTGGTTCCAGCTGCAGTCATATCTCCTCTCCAACTTAACAGGGACCGGAAGACAGACTCCTTCCTTGGCAAGTCAGAAATTGTAATAGGAAGGGAAAATGATCTCACCAATGTTATGAAGTTGCTCAGTAGTTCAGACTCCACTCTTGATCGAGATCTCTCTGTTATCACCATAGTCGGTATGGCTGGTCTAGGAAAGACAACTTTAGTCAAAAAGGTGTGTCAAGTAGTAGAAGAGAAAAAGTTGTTTGATAAAGTAGTATGGGTTTGTGTGTCTGAGAATTTTGAAGATGAAATGATTTTAGGAAAAATGTTGCAAAATCTCAATCCAACCAAAAGTGGGATGAATGAAATAGATGCATTGCTTAGACATCTTCGAGAAGAGTTGAAAGAGAAAACATTTCTTCTGGTACTTGATGATGTGTGGAATGAGGAGCAAGGGAAATGGAATAGTTTAAAGGATCGCCTGTTGAAAATTAATGCAAAAAATGGAAATGTGGTTGTTGTAACAACTCGTAGTGGGATTGTAGCATCCGTAATGGAAACTTCAGTTGGGCATAGGCATGAGCTAAAGAAATTATCAGATGATAACAGTTGGTCCATTATAGAGAAAAAAGTGACCGCGGATGGACGAAAACAGATAGGAGGAAAGTTGAAGGCTATTGGAGAGGAGATTGCGAAGAAATGTGGAAGAGTGCCATTAGCAGCAATAGTTTTAGGTGGGACTATGAGCTCAGATTTGGAGGAAAAGAAATGGTTGTCGATTAGAGATAGGATTAATGTTTTGGATCTAGAGGAAAATAAAAGAACTTTGCATATATTGAAGTTAAGTTTTGATCAGTTACCTTTACCGTCTTTGAAACGGTGTTTTGCATATTGTTCTATCTTTCCTAAAGATTCTGACATTCAGAAGGATAAATTGATTCAGCTTTGGATGGCTGTAGGGTTACTTGGGCCGTCTAATGGAGGGATGGAAGATAAAGGTGACGACTATTTCGACTACTTGCTTGAACATTCCTTTTTTCAAGATGTGAGAAGGGGTGGCTATGGGAATGTAAGAGGTTGCAAGATGCATGATCTTATGCATGATCTTGCACTATCTGTTTCGAAATCAGAAACACTGATTTTGGACGCAGGTTCAGGTTTAGATGACAAATGTCGTATGCGCCATCTAAATCTCATCTCTTACGGGGATGTTGAACTGACATCTCTGCCAGGTGTTGCTAAGAAATTGCGTTCTTTATTCTCGAGTGTCAATGTCTTCCACAACAATTCCATAAAACTCAAACGCTTGCAAACTCTAATCTTGGAGGATTATTATTTCAAGGAGTTGCCAGATTCAATTTGTAGGCTGAAACATTTGAGATATTTGGACATCTCACAAACTGGTGTCCAAGCGCTTCCGGAATCCATCACGAAGCTCTACCATTTGCAAACCTTAAGATTTCACTGGACACTCGAGAAGCTTCCTAAAAACATGAGAAATTTGGTGAGCTTAAGACATCTTTATCTAACTAAAGATCGCCAGATGCCAGCGCATGTGGGTTGCTTAACCAATCTTCAAACGTTGCCGTTTTTTGTTGTGGGTCCAGCTCCGGGCCATAAAATTGAAGAGTTGGGATGCTTGAAGGAATTAAGAGGGGAGTTGAGAATAGCCGGTTTGGAGCATGTGAGAGACAAAAAAGAGGCCGAGGGATCAGACTTGGTTAGTAAAGCAAAGATATCCAATCTGGAATTGGAATGGAGTTATGAAAGAGAAAGCAACACCAGCAACATGAATGACGAGGATGTGTTGGAAGGGCTCCAGGCTCACCCAGGTACAAGATCCTTAAAGATTAAGAACTATTTTGGTGAAAAATTCCCACCATCGTTTCTGATGCCATCAGGCTCGCTCCATAATTTGGTGAGGCTGACATTGGAAAACTGCAGAGAGTGTAAAAAACTTCCTTCAGTTGGACACCTTCCTTGTCTTGAGGATCTTGCGATAGATAAAATGGGTAGTGTAAGTTGTATAGGGAATGAGTTTTATGGTAGCAATAGTGGAATGTCAGTTCCACTTTTCCCAGCATTAAAAACACTCCGTCTAATTGATATGGAGAGTTTAGTGCAATTCGTGGTGCCAGCTGCTACAACTGATGGAGTACAACAACTAGTAGTATTTCCTTGCCTTGAAAGGTTGTACATTTTCCGCTGTCCTAAATTGAAAAGCACTCCATCGATGATTCGTCTTTCATCTCTTAAATATTTAGCTATATATAATTGTGGAAATCTAGCATCTATTCCAAGCA